AACAACAAAAAGCCTAAAATTCAAGGAAGTCACAGCAGGTGCCAATTACTATTAAACATTCTGGCAACATTTGGTGTAGGTACTTTGACTTCTAAAAAACCAACAAGTGAATTTTTAAAATCACCATGAATAGTTTTTAATTATCATGCACCTCAAAGAATGGCATTGACTAATGAGTGATGTACTTTTAAATGATACCATCAATAAAAATTCCCAGTTGAAAAAAAAAAAGTAGCAACGAAAATAATGTTATGGTTGGGGGTCACCACAACATGAGGAACTGTATTAAAAGGTCGCGGCATTAGTGGTTCGCTGTCAAAGGATACAGATAGTCAATCCAAAATTAGAGCAGTTGCAGTAATTAACTTATATAAAATCTGCATTTATCACAGCAGAAGTGGGGGTCTCGTATGTATCGCAAATCAAAGCTATATTAAGCACACTTAATTTTTCCAAGTTAAGCTCCCTGATCACAAATGTATAATCCGCTACTAATTTAAAGGTTGGTGATTTGAAGCCACTCACAAGTACCATGGAAGAAAGACCTGGTGATTTGCTTGCTGAAAGGTTACAGCCCAGAAAACTCTGTGGAGCAATTCTACCCTATAATACAGGGGGTCACCATGAATTGGAATGGACTTAGAGCAATACATTTGTGTATGTGTGTGCCCGTTTTAATTCTTCTAAATATTATTTATTTTTAAAGTCTTAATCTTGAAGTAAGGGAGCAGTTCTGCAGGCCTATGGGCTGTGCATTGGGCTGTTAACCACAAGGTCAGCAGTTTGAAACCAGCAGCTGCTCCATGAGTGAAAGATGAGGTTGTATACTCCTGTGGAGTGACGGTCTTGCTAGCCTGCAGTATGCATTGGAAAGTGGATTGTTGCAGATGCAGTTAGGTAAAAATTTAGCATCTTATCATTGGATCTCCGTTATGAGCCATTTAAATTTGTTTTGTTTTTAATATTTTGTTTTCTATTGAGATTTTTTATGTTTTACTTTGTTACTGTTTTTGTTTTTAAATGCTTTTCTGTCTATGAAATAAAGGATAGGTAAGTCTACAGAGACAATAATTGGGTTAATG